GCACCATAAGTAAGCTTTCTAAAGGTAACTCACAAAGCAGTACAGAAAACAACTACAGTGTAGACGTGCTTAACATGCAATGATAGAATAATGGAGTGATTTTCTTGATGCTGTATGATGAAGTATATTCACCTTGACATAAAATATCTCAATGGCACACTTTCTGGGTTCAAGAAGTACTAAGCTATATCTCAATATAGAAAAGAAGTAAATTATGAAACCTTGGAAATATACTTTAGATTTTAAATATAGCTAGAAAATTAATGCATTCAATAAAATTAATATAGTTGATGAAACTAATGCATTACAATGCTCCCAAACACTGTTTGAATTATGCAATTGGGAGAACAGGAAGATTTCTTTATATTCTGTTCTAACACCAATGGTTGACTTCAATGGAATATAATGTTGACTTCAATAAAATATAATTGGTGTATTTATTACCCTAATTGTATGTAAGGAATCTGAGAATCATTTAAGGAACTTAACCAAGCTCACATCATTAGGAAATGTCAGCTCCTGGATTAAAAACCCAGTTTGTCTGACTTCAAAACCATCAATGTCCCTAAGACTATCCCTCCTTCCTTGTGAAACATTACATGTGTGTATAAGCAAGTAAGAGTATGAGCAGTATACATATACAACTACTTGTCAAATGAAACGTCATGGATACAAACAACCAATGAGAATGGATACCTTGCTATTAGACAGAGAACTATAGGTAAATACATGGTACAACTGTATTGTGTATCTTTGAAGAATACTATGGGGTGTGTATGTGTGTGTGTGTGTGTGTGTGTCTGTCTGTCTGTCTGTATGTATGTTTGGGGTGATAAATGTCTTCTAAACTATTAAAATTCAATTCAAAAGATTGAAGTCTTTGTTATCAACTAAGGATTTACTACACCAGACACAATGTGCTTTGTATTTAAGTTATTATGTGTCCAAAGTATACATAATACATTTTTAGAGGAGTTATAGATGCACAAATTTAGCTTTGCCCCCCTCCAAATAACCACTTCCTCAAGCATTAATCTTCTTTCCAACCACAAATGGTTATGTTGGAGTGACTGTTCTTGTCTTAATTACCTGCCTTCTTTCTCTTTCCTCTGTTCATGCTTTTGTTCCCATCTGCTGTATTTTTGTCTGTGTGCTGTAAGGAGCTTATGAACTCCCATTGCATGAACTCAGTATCCTCCTATTATACTCTGAAGACAAAGTTGAACCTTCCTTTCAGCTAACATTGCTTCTCTCCCCTAACATCCCATTTTTTTCCTTCAGCAGTTGCTTTCTCCTACACATTGTCCCTGTGGGAAAGGACATTTAATTTCACTCTCATTTTTAGCTACATTTTGCCTTCTGATATTGTCTGAACATTTGCATTCACCTCAGATTTAAATTTTGAAATCCTAACACCACAAGGGAGAGTACCAGGAGATGAGGTCTTGGGGAACTAATTAGATAATGAGGGTGAAGTCCTCATGATTGAGGTTAATGCCCTTAGAAAGAGACCCCAGAAAGCTAGCCAGCTTTTGTACATCATGAGGACACACCAAGAAGGTGGGAATCTGTGAATCAGAAAGCCAGTCCCCAACTTCACCTAATCCACTGGCCCCTTGACTTGGTACCTCTCTGACTCCATAACTGTTAGAAATAAATTCTTTTGTTTGAAGTGTCACTCAATAGTTGATGTTCTGTTACAGCAACCTACCTGGACTAAAACAGAAAAGTAGTACCTAAAGTGCTGCTGTAATAATATTCATTATTGTGGAAGTGGCTCTGGAACTAGATAATGGATAGAAATCGGAAGCTTTTAGGTGCCTGCTAGAAAAAGGCTACATTGACATGAATGGACCTTTAAAAATTATTCTGGAAAGAGTTCCGGGAGAAAAGAATAGATTTGTAGAGAAAATCTCATGCTTCAATAATCTAAACAGAATTCAGACCATTCTGATGACATGTCAGAGTGAAATAAGAAACAAGTTCCTGGGCAATGGAGGAAAGGCCATCCTTGCAACAAAATGGCAAAGAACTTGGCTGAAACTATATTAACGGCCTGAAGTTCTGTGATAGGTAGAACTTGCTTATCTTTGGCTGAAGAGATTTATGAGCAAAGAGTTGAAGAAATAACTTGAAAATGGAATTTTTCTTCAAAAGGAAAACATTATTTAAAGATTTGGAAATTTCTTAGCCTACCTATATTGAAAAGAAATGAGAATACATGTACATAAGGGAACATAAAGATTTGGTCAGCTCACCATCTGAAAAGTACATTCATCATGCAAATAGAAGCCAGAGCAAAGGGTGAATACCTCCATTTTCCCCAAAGCAATGCTGAAATCCTTGAAAGTTTTCAGAGGAGAGACCACCTATTCCTGGAGGTCTAAGTGCACTAGCACTACACACCACAAGCTCCACACTGCATTCCGGAACTTTTTGTTCCTGATATGTCTGTTCCTGATCTGTGGTTCCAGCAGGCCCAGGCTCCAATGAATCATAGAGTCTGTCCCTGCAAAGGTGTGGACATTTGGCAGTGTCCATGTGCACCACCTTTGATAGCACACAGGTGCACAAGCCACAGCAACATTGGTATATCTGCCCGGATTTCAAATCACAGTACTGCCCTCTTACAACCAGTGAAAGAAAGGGCATCAGTACAAACAATGCACTGCCACAATTTTTACTTTAATCAATTATTTTAAAAATAAAATAAGGTAAAATATCTTCCATATTTACTTTCATACTAAAATTTCTTGAGATCTTTATCATTTTATGGGAATCCAAGTTCCTGTTTTCTTATTATGTCTTTGTCCTAAAAATGTTCCTATAATACTTCTTTTTCTTTTTTGTCTATTTGAGATAGGGTCTTGCTATGCAGTTCAGGCAGCCTTGTGGTCACTTTGTAGCCTAGGTTGGAGTCAGACTTGCAACGATCCTCCTGCCCCAGCCTGCCAAGTGCTGGGATTACAGGCGTGTACCACCATGCCTGGTTCCTTGTAATACTTCTTCTCATGGAGGTTACTAATAATTATTTCTGTCAGGTTCCAGGTGCTTCAAAATTAAGTAAAGACTATCTAAAGATATTTTATATAGGGATATAAACATGTTATGTATCTTTTTTCTCTCCCAGTACTTAAAGATGTCAATCCATTGTCTTTTGCCTTTCATAATTTAGATGTCTACTATAATCCGCTTGCTTTTTTGTGTTTATTTTGTCATTTCTCCCCATATTCCTTCAAGTATTTCTCTATCTTTGGTTTTCAGAAATTTCAGTGTGTTTATACTTGCTTTTATTTTTGTTCTTTTGGATTATTCTGCTTGATGTAACCTTTGCCTCTTATTTCTGTTATATTATGTATTTAATAGTATTTGAAAAATATTTCTCTTCTGCATTTTCCCTTGCTTCTTCTGGAATTCCAACTCTTGTTTATTAGACCTTTTGAAATTTTCACTCTCATCTCATTTAGATATTCTGTTCTTTTAAAAGTTTTTATTTCCTTTTTTTCCTCATTGCATTTCTGATTGGAGAATTTCTTTATCTTTAGGTTCAGTGATTCTTTCCCTGGTCATACTGAGTCTACAGATGAGCCTACCAGAAGCAATTTTCATCTTTGTTACTTAGCTTATTTATTTGTTTCTTGGAATTTTCATTTGACAAACTATTGTAGTTTGCATCTCTCTGTTGAAATTTCCCACCTGTTTTTACATGTTGTTCACCCTTTCATTTAGAAACTCTAATGTATTAACCATTGTAAATGAACTTTTGGATGACTTCAAAGTCTGGTTCATCACTGAGTCTGGTTGTATCATTTGCTCTTTCTCTTGATAAGCTTTTTTGTGGCTTTATCATATACATTTCAATTTGTGAGTGAACAGAATATTTTATATTTAGAACACAGTAGACTTAATAGCATTCATAGTACCTCCTTTAATTTTGTTTCCCAAGAATTCTGTACACTCACATTACCCTAAGCTTGTTGTTTCTCAATTTATTAAAATTTTCTAGATGATATTCTGACCAACTGCAGTGATGCTCAGCATTTTTTATCTCATACTTTGCCACTAGAATCATGTGTTATGTCCCATCTTTCTATAGAAGGATTTTCTTTCCTTGATTATAAACTCTGTGGCTGACCTCTAGCTTAAGTTCTTATTGTATTAAAGAAAAGTGATAATTTTTAACTCTGTCCAGCTCTTATTTTTTTTGTTAAAGTAGCCCAAGCATTATTCTTTCCACTCTCTGCAGCTGAGGTAGTAATGTTTCTTTTAATAAATATTTCTGGACAACCCATTATGTTTCAATAACTATTCCATGTGCTAAAGGAACACATAAAAATATCCAATTCCTACCTTCAAGCAATGCACACTTTTGGAAAGCAGACATGTTTTGCATTTTAATTCAACTTACTAGATGTTGTTCAGGGCTATGGAGGTTCAAAGCACAGTGAATAGTCCTCTACACAAAACACAAAGTGAGTTACGGAGCTACATAAAGACAAATTCTTAAATCTGTTCTACAGGATATTCAGAAAGGAACTTTACGCAGAAAAAACACAGAAGTTGAGAAAGGACTGTGAAAAGTCTGATATGCCCAAGAAGCATTGAACAATAAATTTGCAGAAGTAGGGGAAGCACCAACAACAGGAGGATTTGTGTTGACTCCAATAGGAATCAAATGTAGAACAGGTTTTAGAAGGAAGAAATTTAGTTTTTTTTTCTCATTGTTATTATTTTTATGTCTCACACACACACACACACACACACACACACACACATACACACACACACGGAACATGTGAGTACTCAATAACACATGCTGACCAGATGCATGTATATAAACTTAATCCAAAGGTCTCATTTTCCCCTTGAAAACAAATCTCTGTTTTATAGAACAGGTCATTCACGCCTGTGCCACTCTATTTCCCTTGCTTATCTACCAGTCACTTTTGTTCCTTTCTCTCTATAAATTTACAGTCAGTCTCTATGGCATAAAATCCTACCTGTGGAGCTCGTCATGAGTCATCAGAAGAGCCGGCATCTCTCCACTGGGATTCTTGAGTAGCAGCAATGGCTGGACCTGAGGAAGGGTGTCAGCCTTCAGGGCTCCGCTTGTGTTCCCACAGGCCCCATCTGACCTGCCTCAGGTCATCTGACCTGGCACAGTCACAGTGCCACTTTAGGATTTAGTCTTCTGTTCTTGCTCTGTTATCTTTAAAATCCTTTCCTTCACATCGGGCTTCTCCATGCTCCCAAGCCTTATTCAGGTCATTACACCTGGGCACAGACTGCTTTTAAATGTTCAGTATCAGTGACATCGCACAGGTTCTATTTCATCAGACACACTCACCTACATGACTTTGTCACACACATAGTGAGTAGGTGTTGCAGAACCTTCTCCTCATAAGCATGTGTTAAATACATGCAGAAACTGAGGCCTACAACAGCGCCAGTTGTTGTTTCAGCTCTTTCCTGTAAGACACTGAGTTTCATATTTGCAGCTATTCTTTATACAACTCAGCCATCACTAAGCAACTCATCATCTCTAATCACCAAGTCTTACCTCATCACCTTTCTCCAGGTCCACACACAGTTTTGTTTCCTTTTTCTGTCTTTTTTCACTAACTTGAGGTAGCCAGGAATGAAGAGAATGTAAGTTGTCTGCAGTGGTTTAAACATTTGTGTTTCCCTACCCCTCCAAAAGCAACAAAAACTGCTGAGTCTCTGAATTTAAAAGTAGAATTCAGACTTGTAATTACAGTCATGGAGTGGGAGAACTTTTGTTGCAAGCTTTTTTCTTCTCTTCCTAGGCTTATCATCTCAGATTGATATCTGAAGTCTCAAATCTCTTTTTCAGTGCTTTCATGTGAGCACTACATATTTATTTATACAGCATGCCTGATGAACACTAGTAGGATAAGAGAAATCAATTGACACATTATTTGAGTCTGTCTTTTAAAACATAATCACACTACATGGCACAGATGCTCATAGGACTCTGAATGTTGCCTCTCTAAGCAACACAGGTTTTTAAGAGAAGAATGCTCCCCACTCCCCAGAGAAAAATTTAGGAATTCCGACAAAATCAGCTCAAATATCAATAATGCAAGGATTCGCCATTTGTGTGGAATAAGAATGGCTCACCTTTTAAAACACCATTATTTATGAATTTGACTCTCAGCTGCTCTGAGATTAAAACTTTTTTTTCTTTTCTGGCCAAATATTTGTGACATGAAAAATGGAATGAAATTTTATCACTAGTTTGATACTGCCAGAAGTATATTAAGTAGAAAGAGCTGACCTGATTAAGTGAGGGGACACCCCATTTAGGAATTCAGGGAGCAGTTTAGAGACTTCTTCCTCACCCCACCCTGCTCATCCACTCCATGGAGGACATTGTTCTGCTGGAGAAAGTTACTATGTGGGACAAAATAATATATGAATTGATCTTCCTAATTTATCATTTAAAAATGAGCTAATGTAGCAGCCAAAGGAACAATAAGAAACATGCACAACTTTATGTTGGGGGTCAGTGGTGATTTTTTTACTTAGAGGGCTGTACAAGCAAGCATAAATGTTCAGGTGTTTGACAGCACCTGGAATCTTTTGTTCTCATCACCTTGTCACCTTCATGAAATCTTCACTCTCATCCTGACCCTTTCCTGGAATCAGGAAGGCAAATTGAGCTGTTATATGAAATGGGATCATACCTATATACTAGATACTTTATCTCAGATTGGTGAAAGCAATGGGCATAGTCCAGGCTGGGAATCACAGGATAGTGTATCTCAAGAACGTTCTTTGTGGATTGCTCCAAGCAGCTGGATAGAGGGCCTTTTACCTCTGCTTGTTGCTGGTGGTGAGCTGCAATCTGCCCCGACTCTGTGCCATGTGAACTTCCCCAATATAATAGCTTGCTTCATCAAAACCAGCAAGAGAATGGATATCTGCTAGAAAAGTGGCATTAACAACCTTTTATAACCAAATCACAGCACCAGTACACCATCATCACTTTTGCCTCCTTCTGTTGGTTAGAAGCAATTCACTAAGTTTGATCCACACTGAAAGTGAGAAGTCAAGTAAAAGTATAAACATCAGGAGGCAGGTGTCTCTGGAGTCCACCTAGGAGTTTGCACATAAATGAAGTGCATACTGAATTCCACACACCTGAAATACATATTTAAAGTCACATAACAGAAACATACATTGAATATTCAAATGAGAAAGTCAACACAAACATTGAGCTAATAGAGAAGACATGTGTCAATGCTATAAAAACCCAGATTTGAAGATTATTTTAATAATCCTTGCTACCTATCTGAGTTTGGGCACATTAACTACCATGGTTCAGTCTATTTCTTCACATAATAAGATGTATTTTCGTGTTATTTCTATTCTAGTGTTAATTTCTTCTTTTCTCCTAATAGAATTTGGTTTTCTCTTGCTCTTCCATTCTCATGCCAAAGCATAAAAGTAGAGCTAAAAATAAAACCCCTGCTTATAGGTATGGGAAAGGAAAATAGGCCCAGTGATTCAAGTCATAGTAATTCACTCAGGAGGAACATAAGGTCTATTACATGACCATGAAAAAGGGAGTCTAGGGCTTTTCTTGGAACATTACTTAAGATGGAGCCTTTCATAAATGAGGGTGAAACTCAGAGAATATAAGCCTAGGTCATCTGTTTACTAAGTTAAAAGTTAATGTTATGGCTTGGGTGGAGATGTCCCCTAAAGTTTCATGCAGTCTTAGAGTTTTTCACAGTTGGCTGAATCTAGAATGTGTGATGTTGGGATTGAGGGTGTGTGATCGCTAAATCAGCACGCTGATTGGTTCGGCAGCAACCTAATCCAAGTAGTCTGCATACAATATGTGAGGAACAGATAGTCTCATCTCCACTTGCTTGTTGTTTTGCTGCTTTCTGCTTGCCATGACTGTTCTCCCCTGCCAAGCCACCCTACCTTGGAGGCAGCCAATTGTGAAATGAATATAAACTGTGAGCTAAATAAAAATTTCCTCTCTTAACATTGGATGTCAGGTATATTGTCTCAGCCATAAGAAAAGTGTCTAAAACAGAATTTAGCACCAGAAATGGAATCATTGCTGTGATCATACCTGACCATGTATAGGAATGGCTTCTAGGAAATGGCTTATAGGAAAGCCTTTGGGAATGGCTTGTGGGAAGAGTTTGGAAAGGTTCAGAGATACTAGCTGAAAAAGCAGAGCTGAAATGCCTTAGACTGTACTGTATGGGAGATTCTTCTCAGAGCTCAGAAGAACAGAAGGCTGATAGAAATTCTGCCAGGAAATACCAGGCTCAGGAGGTTTCTGCTGGGAAGAAGGACTGCATTGGCTGTTGGACTCTAGACAATGCGTGCTATGGCTTGGCAGAAAGTTTGTCTGCAATTCGTTTATGTCCAGAAACTTTACCTATGATTGAGATTAGTGGCAGCAGACTAATTAATCTTGTAGAAGAAATTTCAAGGCAGTCAAACATTGAGATGGTGGCGTGGCTACTGCTAAGGGCTATTTGCCAGATCTATGTTAAGAATCAAGAGCAAAGAGCCCAGCAGAATGATTTCAGAGATTGTGAATTTGGCCCAAAAGGAAGTTCCAATAAAACTGTGGACTTCAAATATAGAGCAGAGGAGATCCTCATTGTTGAGAAGGAACAAGAAAATATAAAAAGAAGCATCAAGACTCCACCCTTTCCAGGCTCAGAATTGCAAAACTGAAAGACTTTGCTATGACAAGAGAGCCCCAAAGCAACATGTTCCAGAATGGTTGTGGCCTAAAGAACTTGTTTCTAATTATATTCATAGAGCTCAATGATCCAGACACTCTCAACCCCTACAGTGGAGAAAGCACAGCCTAGCTACTGCTCCAGCTGGCAACAGACCTTGGAATTATTCACCTGATAATCATTTTAAGTGCATGCAGAATAGAAGAGTTGTGCAGTCAGAACGGATTCTATCCAGATTTCAGAAGAAGGCCTGGAAAGCCAGGCAGTGTGCCCTTGAGAAGGTGGTAAGTGAAGCTGTGAATGTAAAGCCAAATGTGTACTGGACAACTCAGATGTTTGGAGATGCCAGGAATGTGAATCTTCTGAGGAAAACTGCCAGGAAGGAGCAGAGTGGGACAAGAGAGGAGCCATGGGAGCTACAACCCCTGTAAGTACCATAGGAACAGAGCTACCCAAGTTCTCTGGAGTTCACATCTTGCCACAAATTGTCTCGGATGCTGCATGTGGAACTACTGGAATTAATGTTTGCCCTGCTGTATTTTAGACTTGCTTTGGTCCATTTCTTTGTATCCCCCTATATGTAAATTTTGGAATGGAAATATCTCTCTTGTGCCATTGAATGTTGTTTGTGTTTAACTTTCTTTTCATTACTACAGAAGCTTGCAGTTAACAGTTTTATTTGAGACTCAAATCTCAGAGGAGACTTGAGACTTGCCTTTTCAGCAGTGCTGAAACTGGCCACTCTTAGAGATAGACTAAATACCTTTTTTGTAATGGAATATACATGAGTCTTTAGGGGTTAAGGGTGGAATGTTATGGTTTGTGTTCATATCTCCTCTTAAGCATCATGCAGTCTTAGGGTTTTTCAAAGGTGACTGAATCTAGAGTGTGTGATGTTGGTATTAAGGGTGTATCATTGCTAAATCAACCCACTGATTGGTTTCGCAGCATGCTAATCCCAGGAGTATAGATACAATAGGTAAGGGACAGAATAGGTCTTGTCTCCTTCCCCACTTGTTGCTTTGCCTTCTGCCTGCCATGACTGTTCTTCTCTGCCAAGCCACCCTACTTTGGAGCTAGCTAATTACAGACTGAAACCTTTACAAACTGTGAGCTTAACAAACCTTTCCTCCCTTAACTTGTAGGTGTTGGGTATTTTGTCTCAGCAAAGAGAAAATTAACTAAGATGGTTAGAAAAACTCTGCATGAAAATAATGCTAACATAATAATTAAACCAAGATGAAGAAAAAAAATTCCTGCAACTACTTAAAATTTAGATGCAGTCTTGCCTGAAGCTAAGCAACCCAAACTCATTAGTTATACAATCCTGTCACATTTCTGATGAAGTCTATTTCAGTTTTTCATGGGACCATTGCCTGACTCCTGTACTC